ATACGCCAGTTACTGGTCTGAAAATCAGCTGTACACATTCCAAAATATAGCCAAACTATATGCTGATCCAAACCAGTAATGCACAATCAAACATTATCAAAATAAATAAAAAACGGGAATAATGTGATCTTATTCCAGGAAAAGGCCAAAAAAAAACACGAACTAGGCTCTGAACAGTATATTCTACAGGATTTCAAATCTCCACCTTTGGATACCCGTGCCTTTACTGTTAGGAAAAGTGTTTCAGAAAGCCCTTTTTCTCTGAGATTCGTCGGACGCTGAGCCACGCGTCTTTTTCTGATCTCAATCTCTCGGAAAAAGCCTCCTTCCCTCTTTTTCGCAAAACGGAAGTCTTCCAATTGACAGGTCATATGACCAAAGGCAATTAAGTGAACTCTATCGTCTATTCTGAATGAAATTTGTTTTTATGGAAAGGAACCGCTACCTGTACTGAATGAAGTTTAACATCTAGCGAAGAGATGGCGCCAGCAATATTAAAATTTGGAATTTTATAAAAAGAAAAATAAAACGCTACACTAGATATTGTGGTTCTCTAGAAACTTCTAATGCACGCTCAACCTGGGTCACCCTGTATATCACTCAGTGTTCTTCATAATATCAATATAATTGAGAATTTATAGTAATAGTACTAATAGAAAAACAAGGAGTCAATCCACACTATCCTGTGATAAGATCTGTAAATTTTAAGTTGCTAAATTATTCAGTAGCATTAGATTACTATATCGTCCTATTGCTGCCAAAAGTCACTAACTAACATTTTCCGAACAACAAAAAATTCAATCACTAACTATATTTTGAAGCGGAGAATCGATTGAAAAAGTCATTAGCTACGATTTCTGGCTATTTATGTTTTATTTTGATACCGAATAGTTACTAACTATAACATCTTTATCAATGCAATTCATCTTTAGACGCGTTTTTCTCGGAAGTAACAAAAAGTAAGTTAGTGACTTTTGGCAGCAATGGGACGATATATCGTAAAATAAACAAATACAGTGCTGCTAAGATTTGGATCAGAAAACTCTTTCATTGCACGGTATCTACAATATGTAAATTGAACTTGTAAAAATTGTAAACATCTTTCGACATCAAAATGTGGATTTAAGAATAACGAAGTTAAAAAATGCAAACTTAGTATTGACTATATGTTTTTTGAATGACTTATAAAATTAGTATGTTTTTAATAAAACTTATGTTGGCAAATATCCGAACCTATACTCTTTAATAAATATATTTTTAATTAATCCTGAACTGGTTCTGTACGGGTTGTGTAACCCATGATCACATCCATTAGTGAAGAATCACTACGATATATTTATTTGTTTCATACATATTACAGAAAATACTTATTACTACTTTTATTTTTTCTTGTAGAATTATCTGGTACTAAACCATACTGTAAGTTTGGTGTGGTCCTGTTTATTTTCTTTAATTTGACTTCTCTGTTAAGTTGTGGTTTGCTTTGATTTTATAATATATACGACGTTTTTAGTTTTATATTTATAGCATATATGTTATAAATTCAAAGAACTGAGTATAACCTTTTGTACCATCTTCTTCAAGTAATAATTATGCCTGCTTGTTTTTCTCTACCTCTTTTTTAAGCAACAGCAATTTTGTATTTACCTTTTAACCTACACATATACCTACTTATATTTTGTTTTGTATTGTCACAATAATTTACATATTCATTATTTTTCCATGTAATATATATGGGTGGGATGTGTTTACAAATCTGAAAACAAAATTTAATTGTTTGTATTTATCAAAGAATAGTTCATTGCGTTTTAAAATTTGACAATGTCAAAATTTAAATTTGCTGAATTAAAATTGGGAACAGTATACAGGATGTAACAAGTAAAGAAAACAATATTAACAATCTCATTGGAATTGGAACATATTAAATTAGCAAAAAATATAGCAGAGGTCTGTCATCATTTCATTATCAATATTGATTTGATTAGTGCCATTATCTGTTTTTGAATAGAATTGATAATATTGTGATTTAATATGTAGTATGAATGTTGTGACTAATATTGTGTGATTAAAACTTAATTTGAATAGTACCATCCAGACAATAAATTTTGATTTTCTGGTGCGAGCCGTTTTTAGAAAAAAGGAGATAATGCTGTAATTTTGAACCACCCTATACATTTAACCAAACAATTTTGTTGTGAAAACCCGCATTGAAATATGTGATATGAAACCATCTATTTTTACCAATCAATTCCTGATTTTTTTCCGAATTATTTAGTTAGATCCTGTATACTGTAAACCTTTCAATAAAAAGATTAAGGAAGGAGGATATCAAAAACAGATCGAACGCGACGGGGACCTAAAATGGCCGACTTAAATTCTGGTTTATCAGTGCCGTTCTAATTTTCTTCAAAACGTGTAAAAATATGTTGTAATGATGTAGGGTAGACTCAATAATTTGTTGTTTTATTTTGCGTTGTGAATAAATGTTGGTAGTTATAAAAATATATAATTCTAATAAAAATATATAAGTTATAATAATTATTTATGTATTAATACGAACATCCGATACGCTACTGAAGCAGGTAAGTCAAATTGACTATCTAAATTCTTTGACCAGTAGTAAATAAAAGCAAAAATGCAAGAAAAATACGTAATTAGTTAATTTTAAGTGAATTTTTCATAAATGATCGGTTTACTACACGTACGAGTATGTACAGGGTGGTCGAAATTAGTCTGTTTTAACAGAGAAAACATATTTCCTGACTAGATAGGGCAAAACCGACATAGATGTTGTCATGGACTCGATTTCTGAGATACGTTTAATAGCGTAAACCGCTTGTTGATATTTTCACTGTCAACAGAGATACGGGGTCTTTTTGATTTTTTTACCATTTTGAAAATTGCCCATAACTTTTTTATTTCGCGGAATAATAAAATTCTGTAAAAACGTTCTTAAGGCACTCTTTTAAGCACAATCCAGTGGCGTGTCAGTTTTTTTCTATGCTTGCTCTTTTTGTCAGAAATAATAAAAGATATAATTTTTTAAATGGAAATCGTAGTTGGCTATGAACTTAAAAAAATGCTGGCGTTTAACCCTTTCCAACGATATAAAGTTGGGTATGGGTATCTATTTCTAAGAATGAGAGAAATATGAAGATTTTTATCTTTATATTGATTCCGGTTTTTTTGAGTTGACCTATTTGCTTAATTATTGTTTATCACAATTTAATATTCTATATTATTATTTATCTGCATAATTAAAGACTTTTGAAAAGGTAAATTAACATTCTATTTATTTTATTTATTAACATTCTATTATTATTAGTAATAGTAATTATTAGTTTTAGTAATTACAACTGAAATCGATACAATAAACAAAGAACAAAACTAAAGAAACGTATTTTTTGAGTGGCGAATATAGTTTTCTAAAAAAACCAAAGATGTTCAAATTGAGCACCCCCTTGTTGAATACACAATAGACTTCTTTTGCGCACAGAGTTACAACGATTTATTAGGCGAACTGGTTTAATAAGTCCAAAAGCTTGCCTAGTAGCCTTCTGCAATTCTTCTCTTGTCCCAATGGTTCTTCCCTTATACAGGGTGTCCCAGAAATAAGTGCAGATATTTTAACTGGTAGTATAGTTCAACCCCAGAAACACGCCTATGAGGTTTTTTTTGCGAAAAAAAAATGTTGAAAATTTAAAATTTTTCTTGACATTTTCCGGGAAATTTGAAAAAACTTTTTAGTGCCACTTGTTTATTCACCTGAGATTTCTCTACGGTGTATCTAAACCATGCAGTGTTGTAACCTCCTATGTTATCCACATTCTACATAGTTCTACATTTATAAATTCATAGAAAAATTTCTACTCAAAAATTAAGAATGTTAAATTTTCATCAGTGCTCATTATTAATAATTATTATAGAAAAAAAAAACACATTAATTATTTTTAGTACTTACCCTTTCAATGAAAACTTAACAAAAACCACCGAAAATTAACTAAAACATTACGTTTATGACGTTTACGAAAATGATTCATCATATTATTCACAACCAAGTCACAAAAAAGAAATTCCTAAAATGTTTATCGTAATTTAGAATTCAATATTTGTTTTCTTTCATGCTTCTCTGTTTTATTTGAACCACTGATTTACAAAACACCTTGAAAAGCGCACATTACTTTGAATACCGTCTCTTATCGCCACTTTACGAACTACTTTCAATTTAAGACATGTTTCACTCAACAATTTTAAATACGTATTTTGTTTTTCGCTATTTTTCGATGTATTTTGACAGCCCGACCGTCGCGCGTCGGCCAAGAGTGCCACGTGTGAACTGGTCCTTTGAGCCGCGCCGTCGTGGCAGGCTTGCGTCAGACGACGATGTTAAAGCAACGTTGCCGTAGTTACAACAATTTCAAATTCAAGAGATTCAAGCAATCAAATTTGTATTAAATTTTAAAAATAAAACAGAGAAACATGAAGGAAACAAACAAAACGAAAATGAATTGATTATTCGTCGGGCTGTTTTCGATATATTGAATTCTGAATTACGATAAACAATTTAGAAATTTCTTTTTGTGACCTTATCAATTATCAATTCATTTTGTGTTTTGTTTGTTTCCTTTCATGTTTTTCTGTTTTATTTTTAAAATTTAATAAGAATTTGATTGCTTCAAGTGTCTTGAATTTGAAATTGTTGAAACTACGGCAACCTCGCATGACGCAAGCTCGACACGCCGGCGCGACAAAGAAGCAGTGAGCAGTTACCAACCAGTGATGCGTGGCTGTCTAGGGATGTCGATTCTTTCTAAAAAAAATCGATCTTCGATTCGATTTGAATCGAAAGCATTGGAATCGATTCTCGATTAAATCGAACATCGAAATATCGATGTTCGATTAATCGAATCGTTAGTCTTTGTAGTTTGATTTGGTTTACTGTTTACATTTTTTCCAAAAATCAAAAACAATAATAAGGGAGTATATTGAATAAACTATAGTATCTACTTGGCATTTATTAATTTACATTTCCCAATAATTGAAATCAAGTGATTTTAAAAAAATTAATTTATCTAGCCGCTCAGGATCTAAGCGACTCCTTTCATCACTTGCAATATTTCCCGCAACAGAAAAAAGTCGTTCACAAGGAACAGATGTTCCAACTACACAGAAATACCTATTAGCAATTGGCCTTATTGAACTATAAAAGGAATGTTTGTGATTGTGCCAGTATGAGATGGGATTGGTAGTGTTGAGGTCGACTACAGGCTGGGCCAAATAATGCTTGAATTCATCTTGCAAACCTTCTCCTTGAATCTCTTGAGAAATTGAATGACGCTGATTTTTCACCAATTTATTATGGAATTCCCAAATATTAGGCTCCTCTGCTTCTGTAATCTGGGGTTGAATATGGGCTGAATTTTCATGAGTTACATCTTTTTCTAACTGGTTTTTGAAAATCCTAATCATAGTATTGATTTTATCGATGGCTTTCGAGCATGCCAGTTTATCAGAAAAATGTATTTTCTTAAATCTTGGATCAAGTATAGTTGATATGGCCAGCATGTTGACTTGTTCTACTGTGCCAAACCTTTTTTTAAATCCCTCTATTATTAATTTTTTTGTTGCAGTGCCAACTTCTGTTTCTGTCTTCATTGCACTATATGTTTCAAAAAGACATGATACTATTGGAATTATTTTGCTCGACGTTACAAATTTTTCTGCACACACTTCTTTTGTGACAGCTTCCATGGGTTTCAAGATATTTATGAGATCTTTAATAGCATCTAATTGACTTGCTGACAACATAGATGGAGCTTTCGGGTGGTTGAGTAATATTGGAGCTATAAACTCTGATAATTTCACAAACCGTTCTATCTGGTAATATATAGAGTTCCATCTTGTACAAACAGACTGAATCAATTTGAGTGGTAGTCCTGTATTATTTTGAGCTTTACGAAGGGCATCAGCAGCATTAACGTTTTGTTTGAAGTATCTAGTTATATCCTTTATAATGTGTAGCAATGCTTTAGCACTCTCTACACCATCTTTCTCTTCAAAAGGTTTTTGAGCCACTAAATTTAGTGTATGTGCAAAACACCATATGTGTTTTGATTTCCCATACGCTGTTATTACCGCCTTCACTATGTTGGCACCATTGTCCGTTATGACAGCTGTAACTTTTTCTGATGTTATGCCCCATTTTTCCGCCATTGTAGTTATCATTTGAGTCAAGTAATCCGCATTGTGAGGTTCAGTTAAATGTGACACACCAAAATTTATACTCATCAGGTCACCTTCATCAATAAAATGGCCTGTTAGACCCATGTAACTCCTTGTATTATGTGGGTCTGTCCAGATGTCCGTAGTTAAACATATTGACTCCACATCTACAAGCTTTTCCTTGAATTGCAGTGAAACAATATCATACTTGTCATCTATCATTTGAGTAACTGTGCGTCGTGAAGGAAGTTTATATAAAGGCACTGTTGTTTTCATGAGGTACTGGAACCCTTCTTTCTCAACTGTGTTCAGTGGTAATGAATCCTTACAGATCATGAACATGATGGCATTATTTATTTGTCCATTCTTATTTCCATTTACTGAAAGAAAAATGTACTATTTTTAATTTGCTTACAATAAAGTAATAAAGGTCATTCTTCATAACAAAAAATAATTTGTCATACCTAACTGCAAAAAATCTCACCTTTGAATGATTTGATATTATTAACACATAAATCCATAGTTAGCTGATTAAAGTTTGACTTTTCCTGTGATACTGATGATGATGCTACACTTTCCAAGTCAGAATCACAGTCTTTTGAACTAATCAAACTTGATTCGTTTTCATAACATAATGTGACAGGTTTCTCTTTTGAAGTTGAAGGAGCATCAATATTATTTATCTGGAAATAATAAGCACTTTTTACTTCATTATTTTAGTCGAACCAGAAAACTAACACTTTCAAAATAGTTTCTAAGCATGCACATTGCACTAAGACTACGGAGAGGTTATTGATATATACAGTAGTATATAGATACACACTTCTATTTCTTTGTTACCACCACCAATATGATTATTTGCCTTTGCCACCACTTGCTTACGTTGACTTACGGTCTTGATAGTTGGATGTCTACGTAATAAATGGTTACGTAAATTTGTTGTGTTTCCGCATGTCTTCACTTCAATGTGACAATGCTTACATATGCCACTGGATCCTTTTTTTACAAAATGTTTCCAGGTATCACTTTTACTTGACATTTTAGGCTAAGAAAAAAAAGAATGTTTTAACAAACATACTGTATATATATATAATAATTTATGTTTCACTTACCTTTCGGATCGTGTATTTGATCCTGTATTTGATTTTATCAGAATATAACACAAGCAAACACAATTTTAAAACTAAAAATAACACGAGGACGAGGACCAAGAATTACGATTCTTGCTTGCACGAGGATTACGAGGTAGGAGGAGGCTGGAGCTGGAGCTTGAAGGAGGAGCGGAGACAGCCTTTAATCAAAGTTTACCTAATAATTTGCAATCATTGTTTGCAATCGTTTATTACAATAATTTATTATTGCAATAATCATGCACTTGTCAAGTCAGTAAAGTTATGTTGTCAGTCTTGTCACATGTCGAAATACTAATAGCGGTTTCCATTGGGGCTAATGCGCATCGAATATATTTTTGTTCTTTGTCTTTATTACTCAACGTCAAACGTCACTTAACAGAGATAGAAATACACTCAGTGCGCACCACGTACCAACGGAAACTAAAGTCCCTAGATCAGAAACCGCTATAAAATTAAAATGCTACAAACATTGTAGAAGAAAAGTAGTTTTTTCTTTTGGAAAGTTGCCACTCCTGACTCGCATTAAGGATGTCGTAAAGATGTTATGAAAGTGTCGATACTGTTAGCGGTTTACATCTTTTGTGACGTGAGATATGACATGAAACCATTATAACGTGAATCGGTCCGATTCGGGCAGTTCTTAGATCGATTCATTGAATCGATCCACCGTCTCGAATCGATTCAAAAAATCGATTATTTCTCGGTAAATAATCGATTTTTCGATTAATCGATCTGAGATCGACATCCCTATGGCTGTCTTGGCCGACGGATGGTTGGGCTGTTGACGGAATTGTCGAAATACATCGAAAAAATAGCGAAAAAGCAAAATACGTATTTAAAATTGTTGAGTGAAACATGTATTTTCTTAGATTGAAAGTAGTTTGTAAAGTGGCGGTAAGAGACAATAATTCTCAACATTTATTCATTCAGAAAGATATTCAAAGTAATGTGTAATGTGTGCTTTTCAAGGTGTTTTGTAAATCAGTGGTTCAAATTGTGATGAAGCCTATACGAAAATAATGTGTTAAGTTAAAAATGGGGACTGTTATTTTAGCAGTTTTTATAATAGCACGTACAAGTAAAGCAGCACAATGAAGTGTATTTAGTTAAGTGTGTATCGAAAAAGTATGTCATAAGTATCTTTTTTAATGTTGGGTAAGTTTTTTTAATTTAACTTTTAAACATTTAACTTTTAATTTATTTTATGTAATAATATCACAATCTTAAAAATGTAATGCATCTCTGCAAACTCCTCAGGTGTTGTGATTTTATGACTTACTTGTAAACATATACTTTCTTGTCCATATGGCAACACAGTGCGTCAATTAACTGAAATCCGGGCTTGATCCGGGTAATTGGATGTAGTTGGCAATATCTGCCGGCGGTTCTCAAAATGTTGCGATTATTTTTTAAATTTTCAAAGTTAAATAACTCAGTTATTTTCAATTTATTTTAAAAATGGTAAAGAGAAAATATGTTTATTTTGACCAGATCTACCACCTCTTAAAATATCTGCACTCATTTCTGGGACACCCTGTATATAAGGTCTTTAATTTCCCCTATAAAAAAGTCGAAAGGAGTTAAATCACAGGACCTAAGAGGCCAAGATATGGGCCTCTTGTTCCAACCCAATTCTCTCTAAATTCTCCATTTAATAGTTCAGTTGTAACCCTAGCGTTTTAATTGTAATTGGTAATACTAATATAGTGTTGATTCGCCTTTTCAAAAGTTTTTAATTATGCAGGTAAATAATAATATAGCATATTAAATTGTGATAAAAATTAATTAGGCAACTAGGCCAACACAAAATCAAGGCCCGCTTCGTTACAAAGATAAAAATCTAATATTTCTCTCATTCTTAGAAATAAATACACATAACTTTATATCGTTGGAAAGGGTTAAACACCATCATTTTTTACGTTCATAGTTAACTATGATTTCCATTTAAGAAATTATATTTTTTATTATTTCTGACAAAAAGAGCAAGCATAGAAAAAAACTGACTACGCCACTGGATCGTGCTTAAAAAAGTGACTTAAGAAAGTTTTTTTTTCGCCATTAAATGTATCTCAGAAATCGAGCCGATGATATCTATGCCGGTTTTGCTCTATCTAGTCAGGAAATAGGTTTTCTCTGTTAAAACAGACCAATTTCTACCACCCTAGTATATTAGTCACTAAGCCCCAATTATAGATTGAAAACGGTGCGGTTCGACGTTGCGGTTGACGTTGAACGATAACGACGGTAATTTGTTGTTAGTTATAGATATAAAACGTTTTAGTTAACATTTTCAACCTAACCTTATTTATTCAATCAATGAATGTCATTGAAGAATTTAAAAATTATTATTATACCAATAATTAGGTAGTATTTTAGTTAGCAAAATTAAAAGATTTTTTTTCTTGGCTTTAAAAAAAATGGATGTACACGATGATGAGATATCGGTTGGAGTTTTAGCCCTGTTATTGTGTTGTTTGGCACTGAAGCTCAGCCAGAATCAGAAAGAACGGAGACCCAGGAGGTGGAGCATTCGCCCTGTAAATCTATCACGAGAAAATTCTTTTAATTATTTTAAGAACATTAAAAGAAGGACCCCGAAGAATTTTTTAAGTGGACTCAGAATGTCTGATAATAGTTTTAATGCATTGCTGGCATTAATTCATGATAAGATTAAAAAGAAAAATTAAGAGGGGAATTGAGAGCCGAACAAAGACTTTGCATTACTTTACGCTACCTGGCCCACGGCGACTCAATGCAAAGTTTGGCATGGTCATTCCAAATGGGAAAAACTACAGTTCGGGACATTATTTATACAACTTGCGAGGCAATTTGGGATAGTTTGAAAAATGATTATTTGGAGCTACCCCACAGCATTGAAAAATGGAAAGCTATTGCCAAAGATTTTGAAGATGTTTGGAATTTCCCTCACTGCCTAGGAGCCCTGGATGGGAAGCATGTTTCAATACAAGCCCCACCTAATTCAGGCTCTGCCTTTTTAATTATAAAAACATTTCAGCACGGTATTGATGGCAATCTGCAATGCCAATTATAGATTTATCATGGTGGATGTGGGTTCTCTTGGAAGTGCAAGTGATGGTGGAATTTTTTCACAATATGCTTTTTTAAGGAGCTTCTGGAAAAGGGTCATTTAAACATCCCTCCTCAGAGGAATTGGAAAATACCACTTTTAAAATGCCCTATGTCTTAGTAGCAGATGAAGCCTTCCCCTACAAAAAAATATATATTTCGACCCTTTGGAGGCACCAATCTTTCTGTGAGAGAAAGAATATTTAATTATAGACTTTCCAGAGCTCGTAGGACTATTGAAAACGCCTTCGGAATCTTGGTTTGCTAGATGGCGAATTTTTAAAACCACCATAATTGCAGACCCTCAAATGTGGATACCATAGTCAAGGCATGTGTTGTTTTACACAACTATTGCTTATCAAAAGCCAAAAATATAATCCAGCAGGTTACACTGACAATGGAGATCAGAACGATGGCATTTGGCGAGAGGAAACCACTCCACTTAGATCAGTTGGTAGACTAGCCAACAATAATGCGGTACGATACCTCTACCAACTGAGAAATAGTGTAGCAGACTATTTCGTCTCTGAGGTTGGTGAATTGCCTTGGCAGTACGACCATGTACTCAATAGAGGTACTGTTTTGCTGCAAATTAACTTTATATTTCCATATTAAGTTTTTGTTTACCTTATAGATAATGGATTGTTTTTAATTTGGCTTTGAATATATACAGTATCTCCATGGAAAGATGTTCAAGAGGTAAAATGGACTAAAAATTTCATTTTTCATTGCAATTTTTAGTCCTTTTCACCTTCTGGGACCTCTATCCGTGGACATACTGTAGATAATTTTGATTTTTGTATTTTTAAATTTTTGAATTTTTTAAACTACCTATCTACTTAAAATAATTAAAACCATTTTTCACATACTTTTGTTTTATTTATTATACATATATAATTTATTATCTTTTATAAAAACAACATTTCAAAAATATTAACCTGCAGAAACATGCATGCTAAAAACGAAAAACGGCTATGCCAACAGTGTCTACCTGTATTCTTATATTACTAAGTATATTACAAAATCACAGGCCTTCAGTCTTATTATAGAAATATTAAATTAGATGTATGGACAACACAAATAAAAATTCTTATGAATAAAAAAACCAAACTCAAAACTTATGTATGTATAGCATGTCCCAGTGACATCTTACCACATATTATCTGTGATCTTACCAAATAGGAAAAAGTTTATTACTAATTTCACAGTAAAATGTCACTGGGACACGCTGTATATACTTAATATAGGTAACATCAAAACTTAAAATATTGTAAACTCACCGGCAAAAAAAACCGGCCACTAAAAACTAGACCCAATTTCAAAGTCGGATTTCTCATGAACCGCTCATTCGATTTTGATGATTTTTTCTTTTAAATTGTAAATTAATTCCTTTTTAACGGATGCTGCGTCAGAAATTTTTATTCCGAATTTATTTTGAGCATATACAGGGCACAACAATAAGACGAAGTTTTTTGCCCGAACTTTGTAACACCCTGTAGGGTGCAGCAGCGGTAGTAGCTATTGCCAAATTAAATCACATTATAGCCTCATCTTTTGTGAGCAAAAATTATTTTATATTTTAGAAAGTTTGGCGTAGAATTTTGAACATCCTGTATGATTTACGATTTTCATATTTATAACAAAGTAAGTACAGACCATATAAAGTAAATACCTAAAATAGTCTTGATTTCAGAACAGTTCTTGTATTTTTAATAATTTTTTTAAGAAGGGCTGAAAAATATATATTTTTGATTTATTTTTTAATATCTCTGAAACTATCGAAATTTATTTATTCATATCTTAGGGTTATGTAAAGTGATCTGAAAGAAAGCCAAAAATGCAATAATATACAGGGTGTTCCATTTAAAAAAAAATAATCCAGGTCCACTCACACTTTTTTGAGCCACCCTATAGAAGTTAAAATATTTTCGTGAAATACATCCTGGTATATACTTTAGGTTTGCATAAACAAAATTCTCAAGTTTTTTATTCTAGGATGTAGCTCCTAAGCACTATTGCCGGACCCTGTATATTATACTTATTGTTACTAAACTTAATCTTCCAAAATCTCCATAATCCTCAGTCTTTTTTTGTTTGGCAATTTCAGATGACATCTCATCAAGCCTGATAGAGACAAATTTCCCAAAGGCTGCATTTATAGGACCCACAGTGCTGTTCATATTGCTAACTATTGTTTTAGCCAACCCAACAATTTCATTTATTTCAGATCCATTTGCCTGGACTTTTCTTTTCGGAAGTGTCCTGTTAGATATATTATTTTTTAAATCAACATTTAGTTAGAAATTTGTACTCCGAATAGGTACCTATTCCATCTTCTAGTGCTAGCTTACTCTTTTCTGTCTCCTTTACCACTTGTTCTTTTTCGATAGTATTTTCACTCTCTTCTACAAGTTGAGAGTCTTGAGCCTGAGATTGAGTTTCGGCACAAGAGCTGACAATTGTGGACATGCTGTCCCATACTGTAGAGGTGCTAGTAGAGGCAGTTGCGCAGGTACTTGGCCGAGAAATCGGTAATTTTACGTTCGAGACTGTTCTAAAAATAATAAAATATATTTAGGTATGTACTAAATAATTTCAATAATTATTTTGTGTACCTTCTCTGTACCCTGCACGAATCATAAAACTGCATGGCCTGCATATAAGGCCAAGGCCTAGCAAGGCCACCTTGTGAACCAGATGGTTCAGCTTTTTTCTTCCTAACATATGTATCCCGAAGGTTTCCATATCCGTTTGGCTTCTTCAACTAAAAATAAGTATACATTATAATACTAGTTATTAGTATATTGGTGTTATTATGTAACTAGTCTTTTATTTAGTATGTTTCTTACATAAAATATGTTACCTGATATGTCCATAGCGGTGCCTATTTCCCTCCAGCTATTTTCTTTTTCTGACCATCTTTATAGTCTTTATGTTTGATGTCGTATAAGTGTTTAAATCCTTCTACTAGGGAAAGAAAAGGTGTATATCTATAAAAAATAATATATAAAATTTATAATTATATCTTTCTGCACATTGTTTAGTATACATACCAACTCTAGTGTCTTCCAAGACCTCCATTTTCACAGTTCACAACAATAGGCACCAATAACAAAATAGAAACACCTACAAAAGTACTAAATTTTAATATAAATCACCTTTTCCTGCATTTTCTAAAGAAAATTTCGAAAATTCATACCTACTTTCAAAGAAACTGAAACAATTGTGAGGTTATGTTATGATCGCTCGAATCGCCGCCACCGCATTTTTTTTTTAAATAGAGGCGCTAAAAAGTCATTTCTATTGGCTATTACTAACGTTTCAAGGTCAACGTTCCTGTCGAAGTTAAAAGTTGGTTAACTTTTGGACGTAAAACGTCAACCGCAACAACAACCGAAAAATTTATAATCAACAAAACATCCTGCGTATAAACGAACTTTTCACCGACCGTAACGTCGGGCGTCGAACCGCAACGTTTTCAATCTATAATTGGGGCTTTACTAGTGAAAAGTTATTTCATTAGTTCCCTCGATTTTGACCGAGATCTACCGCACGCTACACGACCAACTATTTTACAGTCTTTTTCGATAAATCGCAATAGTGTCACTGTTAATTTAAGTTTTGCCACAATTTCCTTTTAGATTTACTACTTCTAATCAACTACAAGTTGTAGAATAGATAATAATTAACATAAAATAATCTCAGTAAAGACTGACATAACCACAAAATTTCAAATCAAATTCAAACAGAACTCTCAAGGATCCCCACCTCCGTCTACCATGCATGAATACATGAATAGCATTATACTCCTTCCTTAATCTTTTTATTCAAACTTGTAAACACTATGTTGTATGATAATTATGACAATAAGAACATTCTTTTTGCTATGATTCTATTTAGTTGTATTTAATGTCCGTTAATGTGTCAAAGCATCATTCAGTATTGAATCAACTATTTCGATCACTAAAACTTACACAATATTTTTTTTTTCGCAGATACCATTTTACCCAGTAGTAAAAAAAGACTTGACATTCATCCACTTAGGTAACGATTCCCACGTCGAAGGCCTAATAAATTTTGAGAAACTTCGAATGATCGCTAAGGAAGTCCGATCGCTGAGTAACATGTGCAGCAGTCCCTACGATCTTTTGACAATGCTCGAGCTGGGCGGCCAACCGGCTAGTAATGCCATGGTGGCGTTAAATCAAATGACGACTGCCACGTCTCAATATCATACTCAGGGTAAGACAAGTAAAAAGGAAGATCGATAGTGTATTCATTTAATTACTTACTATAGCCTCAATATGTGTTGTACCAGGTCAAGCCACGGTCAAACGACGTAAAAAATCCACGGCTGCTCCCAATCCTAAGAAAATGTTTGAGGAGTCTCAGATGGTGAGGCGCGTCAAAGCCTATTTAAATAACCTTCATGTGGAAACGGATGAACTGAAACTACACGAAATGTCTATAGAGTGTGAAGGTAAGTTTTGTAGATTGGTGAAGTCAGGAGAATTCTATATGTTTTTATGGGCATATTGTAAAAGGAATACAGTAATCGCAAAACATTTTCCGATGCACGTCATCAATCATATCGAAATTGACACTAAAGCCTATAAATCTGAGTAAATAAAATTTTGGTAAAAACGATTAAATTTGTTGTATAATTTAAGATACCGAGCAGCTATTCATTTTACATATATAACATATATTTTATTCAGATTAAAGCTGCAAAAATTAGTTTATACCGATTTTTATTTTTATTATCGCAAATCGATATGTTGGTCACATTGCGCCGCGATCAGCAACGTTGTCGTTTATTATTCGACAATTATCATAATTACAGCTGAGGGTTGGAACCTTTGGTCTTACACAGCAAAATAAAACACTAAATCACCACAATACACCAAAACACTTTTCCTTTTACACTGGACGCGCGTTTCGCTAACCATGTTAGCATGATCAGCAGTTGATTATAAACTAAAATACAATCTACAATTGGAGCGTTTATATAGTCGCTCAGTGGGCACAGAGTGGGCGTGGCAAGATCTAGCCAACCGAGTCAGAACCCACCGAGCGTAACAGTTAGATTTCCGCCACTAGAGTAGTATGAACAAAGAACTTGAAGGAATTGGACCGTTGTCTCTGGTCATACTATCTTTACATTTATTAATTCTGATGCTTTCATATGCATACATGGTTAGCGAAACGCGCGTCCAGTGTAAAAGTAAAAGTGTTTTGGTGTATTGTGGTGATTTAGTGTTTTATTTTGCAATTATCATAATGTCAATCATTATTTTGTATAATATCGTGTTGTTGTTGAATCTTTGGGAGTAATTCTCGTTTTTTTAAAAGGTGTACTTTTAGGCACAAACAGTTCTTTTAAGAACTAAATTTTGGAGTTTTTGTTTTGTGTGTTGAAAATATGCAGAAGCATTTAAGCAGTCGAAGCAAAGATCTTGTAGCTTTCCTGATAAACGAGAACGTGACAATAAAAGCCCTTTATTACCCTTGACTGCAGTCAGAAAAGTAAGTCCGATTGGTAAGCACATTATACCACTTTCAAAGTTATTTCTACTTATCTCAGATTACAGTTGAGGGTTGGAACCTTTGGTGTTGCACAGCAAAATAAAACAGGAATAAGAAATTAAGAATCGTCTCATAAATCCATCACTATTTGGCAGCACAGTCGCTATCGCTTGTCACTCAAAGTTGATCACGTGCATCGGAAATTGTTTTGCGATTACATTACTCTTAAAAAAAATTGAAGGACATACTTTGGTCTTAGTCTTTTTAGCGATATTTCAAAGGTGTATAGAAATGTTCTAGAACACTTTTGTTATTCTGATACATTATACAGACATGTTTAAAGTCTGTCCAATGGGTCAGGGAAGATTTCGACAGACAACATCCAAAAAATTACTTAAATTAATTATTTACATGTGCATTAAAATGACAGACAAAACTGTCACTCTGTCATGTATCTTTTCTTTGGTCAGACTATATCCTAAATCGATGATCTGGATTTTAAGGAGGATACCCTATAGGAAATTCAATCATGATAAACAGAGATAAGAATTGGGCTGATGAATTTCTTTTACGTAGTTTTGCTGGATTTTAATAAAATTATAAAACGGGCTAAGAAGTCGTTTTGATGAGTATTTCAGCTAGAGTTAAAATGAATACCTTACATAATATTTTACGATGCATCTCTTTGTGTCTTTGTTCATAAACTGGTTATAACTACAAGTCAACCAAAGGTTGTCCAACGACAGTGACAGTTGTCTGTAATTTTAGTTAACAGGTAAATAAGGTGCCTAAAGAATACAAGGACCAATAACACCCAAGACAAAATTGTTACCATGCCTCCAAACAGTGCCGCGCCACATTTTTTTCTTAACTTAGTTGCTTGAAGAGATATCTATATTATTGATAAATTTTTTGACTACGCCTATGGTGTATGCTGCTTATTTTGTTTGTACCATACTAATTAATTAAAAAACGTATTAAAATGTTAACAAAAGGTAAAAAAAAACTAGTATCAACGTATAGCACATATCAAGTACATATAATATCAGAAATATCATCAATCAATAATATCATCAATCAATTCAGTAAGAAAACGCTAAAAAGATGAAGTGGACTGTTTATTTACCTATGAAACGTAAATCCTGGCTCTTTCTTATCATTGCGGCTTTTACACTTGAAAGCTGAACACATCACCGTTGTAACAAAGTTTATACGAGCTTCACTACACACAACAAACTATTAAAAGTCCCTAAAATTGTCGCTGTTGACGAGCTAGTAACTCATCCGTAGGCTCCAAAATGATGGCGTCTAACAGCACAAATTCTGCTCCAGGCCGTTCATGGGAGTTATGCGTCCTTGTATTCTTTAGTTATGGAGGTAGATTGTATTTTCTTTCATTTTTGGATGTCGTCTGACGAAATATTTCTTGGTTTGTTGTGAATATTGTTCTGTAAACTTTTCACTTTTATCTAAATGGATCTAAATGTATGAGTGAATATTTTATTTTTATGAAGATATTGACCTAAGCTATTTCTTCAGGTAACTCTGCGGGTAGCGGTGGCTTTTCGGGTCCAGGAAGCCAGAGGTCTAAAAGACATGCTTCGCCGGCGCCATCTACAACTAGCAGTACAAGTAGTGCAAGCGACGAAAGAAAACCTACTCCCAAATTCGGTATGTTTTGCATTTGGTTACTTTGCTTTTTATTAATTTATGACAGCATGAATAAAAAACAATATTAAGTCATGCAACAAATATATTATTTTAATCAGGTCTATACACGTATCAATCTTAATAGGCAAATGTTGATGTTTAATGTAGTTTATACTATTTTTTTGGTAATTATATTTGTGCATGATTATAGAAAAAAATATATATTTTGTCTGATATGATGAAATTGATATCAGATCACGATAGGGCTATTTACAATGATTTTTTCGTCTACGTTATATATTTCCATACTGTGTTTGCACACGTGCATTTTTTAGCGTATTAAAAAGTCGTTGATTATAATATGCTTGATAGAATTTTTAAAGTTTTATTCTAACTTCAAGTTTACAAGTTGATTTGGACAGTAATTTAAATTATAGCTGCTTATGTTAATTATATTTTTTTGTTTCTGTTTAAAAATGTACCAGTCAAAATTAGGCTTCAACTTGAAAAAATTGAAATATTATTTTCGTTATGTTTCCTTGTTATAAAATAGTAATAATTAGGTGAGGTATAGTTGTTTTTATAAAATAAAGACGTTAAGATTTTTTATAGGCATAAACGAATTCAAATTCTATAAATTAAAAGCTCAAACGCACTGACAAGCAGGTCGCAGCGACCAGCCAACTGTCAAGGCATTAAATGAAAATAATAAAAAAATGTAAATCAAGCGGTCGCAGCTTGGTCGCAGTAATACCATTAAATCAAATGCTGGTCGCTACGACTTGGTCGTCAGTGTGCTTGAGCTCTAAGGGAATATACATATATTTAACCTTGCATTGTATTAAAAAAGCAAAAGTTTTAACAGCCGTATTTAACGTGCATTTTTTGCGTGAAGCTTGCCAGGTGGGCTAAACCTGGAAACCGGTAGATAGATGGGTACTTTACTTGACTTGACAAGCTTTAATCAGAAAATTCATCCACAAGCTAGTGTACGGCTCTTAAAACTGTTGTTTTTTTTTATCATAGTCCTTGCTGAAGATCATCTAATGTGTAGCTACTATAGCATTATTAAACTTTATCACACTTCATATCATATCTAAAATGTCTCTAACATATTTCTCCACATGAGATACGTTCTTACCTCTTATTCTTTTTTTCTTCTGTATATAGATGCAGCCAATTAATTCACATTTTAAAAATATTAATATTTTTACAAGATATATATATAAGTTTTATTTTAACTTTTTTAATCAAAATCAATTCATTTTTATTTTTTGAAAAAAGATTTTAAGAAAAGGCGCTTCTTATGGCTGCTGACAGCCAATATGTTTTGTATTATTTAGTTTACTTTCGTGATATTTCAGTTTTATTTGAAAATTATATGCAATATTTGTTTTGTAATAATTATTATTCACTTGCATTATTTACATAAGTCATATAAGTGTTTTTTAAACACAGGGTAATTGACAGAGCAGATAATTGTAGTTATATAACTATTTCTCTATTATACTATAATACTAACTATATTTCTATACTGGGTGCGTCTCAAAAGTGCCTCAATCCTATAACTTTTTTATTTTTTTCAGATAAAAAAAACGCGATTTGGTATGTTAGAATATCACATAAATTAGGATTGATTGACGTATTCAATTGTTTTCGGTCACTTTCTGTTTCACCGGAAATGACTACAACTTTTGTTTTTTAAATAGCATCCTCGGTATTTTTTTTTACTTTATTCGATAGAAAATGACATTGTGAATAGAATTACATATCATATGTCAACTTTTGACATTTTTACATATGGTTTATTTGAAATTGTAACATGCGGTTCATAACGACAATTTGACTCGAAATACCAAGTATGTGGTACCAAATAATTCGTAAAAAAATGCTTTTTTTAAATATGCTAATGAGCCACCCTCGTTCCATTTGCAAAAATTGAGATATGATTAAAAATACAATTTGGGCATCTTTTAACTGGCCCACTAGGATAAGACACTAAAAACATTAGACGATCAGATTTATTATTCAAAGGCTCCTTGATTAAACATTAATGTTTTTAACACAGCCGTGGCACTCTAGATTGAAATTTAAAAAAATATATCAAAAGTTGACATATGTTATATGATTTTATTCAGAGTGTCATTTTCTATCAAATAAAGTAAAAAAATACCGAGGATGCCATTTAAAAATCAAAAGTTGTTGTCATTTCTGGTGAAACAGGAAGTGACAGAAAACAATTGAAAACTTCAATCAATCCTAATTTATGTCATAAATACTAACATACAAAACCTCGTTTTTTATTTGAAAAAAAAATAAAAAAGTTATAGGGGTGAGCCACTTTTAAGACGCACCCGGTATAAATATACTGGACAAGTTTTTTTGCAGTAACAACATTTTAGCAATTTAATAAGGCATGTAAATCTGCTTAATCTACAAAAACTAATAAAACAGAAAAAATCCAAAGTTAGAAAAAAAGCATCCCATATATATTTTTGTTCTTAGTAAGTAAAATTCTTTTATATTTGTTTAAATCAGTTAGATAATTTACAAGATTTTTTTTAATTCTATACATATTGGTTATTTTTAATATTTTTCTAAAATTAACATGAATACAGTAGAAGAAATGTTAAGAAAAATTATATTTTGGGACGATCTTGTTTTGTTTAAGTTTTTGTCGTTATTCATTATAAAATCTACTTTACTGAAATGCAAGCATTAACATTTAAAAATATTACGACAACAAGAAAGTCACTAACGATACAGCCAGTAGTTTTTTAATATTAGTTTTCCTTAATAGTTAGTGATTATTGAAAAACATTGTTGTTATTTTAAACAACAGGTTCGGCTTCACCGCAAGCGGTTAGAAAGCTACTGGCATTGTCTGAACCGGCCAAAACTAGGCCCCATCAGTCTAAACAAGCGCCGACCCATAGCGTGCCTATTAACCAACCTAGTCCTGCTGTTCGAAGAGCCCCTAGTGCTACAGGTAACTAACATTATTAATTTTTAACATTCATAATAACTACATTATTTTATTCTTAATCATAGTTAGCTAATTCACTAAAAACGTTGTTTATTTGAATATACTATGTTAGAATTCTAAGGTTAGAATACTTCAAAAATTGAAATGGAACTCTATCTTTAACACTTTTTGATATTCTGATGGTTTTTTAGAGTTATTAAGATTGACTTAATGAATTAATTAGTATAATGATTTAATTTCGTTTTGTGCCTCTTTTATCTATAACTTTTTTGTTTTTGGAGATAGAACTTTCATTATGAAATTTAATTGTCGAGTTTATAGTGGAGTTTATGGCGTATTACCAAAAGTAATATACGTTGTCAAATGTCACATTCATTGATATAAGCTATTTTTTTAAAATAGGAAAATTTAATTAAAAACCCTAAAATTTGCTCTTTAGTATTATATGGATAAAAATAAAAAGTTATAGTCAGTTAAGCGGAACAAAATAAAATAAAAGCACTATATAATATCCCAAGTACAACTTTGACATACAGTGTGTCCAAGCATATTGGATACATATAGAAAAATTGTATTGTAAGATTTATTCTCAATTCTACTTCCTGTTAAACTTCAAATAAAGTACTCAATATTGACGTATTTCGTTTCGTGCGCAGGAGAGCCTCAATAGTAAGAAATCGCTCAAGTATAAGATGGTATAAGCAATCAATCGTGAACGATCTGGCCGCTAAGGGTGCCGTAAGTTTAAGGCAATCCAATTTGTTGAACCAGACCAACTACGGTCACTAGAGGATATTGCAAATCGTAGGGAAAATCATGTCGAACACGAGTCCACATCTGGTAGACGAGAACACGAACATATGCCCACCAAACATTATTTTGGAGAAAAGATAAAAATTCGCATCCCGACAAGAGAAAAATGGAAAAGCAACTGAGTAATGAAACTTTAGGAGGCACAGGTCTCTTAGGCATCTTCTCAGAGGAACTAGACATCCTACGATCACTAAGGCTATTGGATGGCTGTAATGTTCTACAAGCAGAGGTTTACGCTATAAAGGAAGCGGCCGGTTATATACGAGGGAAAATCGCTGATAGACCAATAGGAGATATCGTGATATACTCTGACAGCTTGAGCGCTTTAAGAAGCAATGTAATCAGTAAGATTGAAAACTGTGATGAACTGCCAAAAAGCAGTGTCCTTACTGCATCAAGGCGGGGCTGCTCTGTGCGGGGTGCCAGGCCACAACAATGTGGTGGCACAAATTAACTACAACAGATGCGAAAGAACACCGAATTACGCTTCAGGTTTCTGTGACCTTCAGAAAGAGTTCATAGACAATCCGCATCAATGTATAGTTTGGGTTATTATTTGTTTGGGTGAAAATAATCTGCACCAATATGTTCCATTTAGCGTGTGTCGCATTTAGCGCGTGTTCCAATAAGTCCATTTAGCGTGTGTCGCAATTTTCACACCTTAAAAAATTAGTTTTTTATAGCTATAGCAACTGCAGCGACTATGAAAAAAGCTGTGTGATTTTCATAGAAAATAAGGGCACCTGTAATTTATTTGAGAATGTTATAAATCGCTAAAAGAGGTTTCAAATCTCTTGGATTTCTATTAATATTAAATAAATTTGATTAAAAATTGAACTAAAATTGTTAGTATCATTAAAAACAATTCAAATTCAAAAATTGTATCAGTCAAATTCTCTCATTTAAGGTGAATATTAAAGTAAATATAAATACAGCTCATTCTAAGCTCTACTTATCTTTAAGAAAAATTTAAATCATTGTTGCAATTGGGCCTTAATGCCATTTCGAATGAACAATAGTATTAATAATGTACATTATAATAATAATAAATTTTATATCATAGTGTGTATTAAAACTACTAAAACACTTTTAAATTGGTATTATATTAACAACTTTTGTTTTTTAATCCAAAAAAAAGTTACCAATTTTCTCAATCAAAATATTTGTGGTCCTGAAAAGGACCTTCGTTTTCCCATGTTCGTCAAGGTAGGTAATGGGTAAACGGTAAAAAAACAGGATAATGAAATTTAAAAAATTACAAAAATTGTTCAAAAGTGCCTCCCTCTTGCATTAAACAATAACCCAAACGATCATAAAATCCCCTCCTCACATTGGATAACATATCAGGGATGACAGTGTCAAAGGCATTAAATATTTTCTGCCTTAACTGCTCCAAGTTTTGAATTTCTTCATGGCCGTAAATTTTAGATTTTATGTACCCCCATAAAAAGAAATCATTCACCGAGAAGTCAGGTGAAATTAAACGTCAGTCTAAACAAAATTGTAATTTTTGAAAACTTGTCAAAATTTGGAAACACGCTAAATGGACTTGATTTTCCTATGTCTCGAAGTCTGTGGACTTTTCTGTATAATCTCAGAGTAATTTAATAGATTGCTCATCATATTATATCAGCTCGTAGGAGATTAGAAAAAAAAAGATATTTATAGTATAAAAAATAATTTATTTAACAAAATTTAATTAAAGATGTGACAAAATAGTTACATTTCTATTGGTTCTATCGGACTTTTTGCGACTATATAAATCTTTATTTTTTGTAAACTTTAATGCATAAAATATTTTCAATCTAATAAATAATTTAATGATGTAAATAAGAGGAAATTTCTCACATGGGTGGTCAAATTCTATAGTTTTTATTATATCAAACAGCCTCTGAATGTTTTCTTCAGTGCAAAACTCATCAAAATTTAATATAAATAATTTTTCCAGCCTGTAAATAAAATGAACAAATTTTTCCACTTTCATGATCAAAGGGTTTTAAATGGGTAAAAAAATTCGAGTTATCCAGAGATTCGGATTCTTTTGCAAATTTTAGACAAATATCACATTGATGTATTTGAAGACCCTTTTTAATGATGCAGTCAAACATAATTAAAGGCATTTTGAGTTGAAAAGATTTCTCAGAGGCTGTTTGATATAATGAAAACTATAAAATTTGACCACCCATGTGAGAAATTTCCTCTTATTTACATCATTAAATGATTTATTAGATTGAAAATACTTTATGTATTAAAGTTTACAAATAAAGATTTATATAGTCGAAAAAAGTCCGATAGTACCAATAGAAAGGTAACTATTTTGTCACATTTTTATTAAATTTTGTTAAATAAATTAATTTTTTATACTATAAATATCTTTTTTTCCCTTATAAATAAACACATTTGCATCCCATTTTAAATAAGATATACAAATTACCAAAACTTAGAAATAACAGTTCAAAAGTTCAACAAAAATCCTACACGCGTTTTTAAAAAGAAACATATAACCACGCACTATGTCATTTCAGCAAGCGAATACGACACAGCATAGGTTTCCGGACTAAACGACTGGTGTATTTACACCACTCAATAGGCGTGTCGAATTTGTGGTGGTTGGCAACAAGAAGCAGACAGACTCGCCAAAGAGGGTTCCAGGGGAAAGGCCGTGGCAGATGACTCACCATTTGTGACAATTAACACACTGGAGGAAGCTATAGGAACTATACCATCAAGGCAAGCAGCAAGAGACGTGTCAAGACCGTGAGGACTGCACTACAGCTCGGAGACTGTGGCCAGTGGTAGATAGCAAAAAGACAAAACAACTATTACAGCAAAAAAAGAACCTAATACGCATAGTTGTAGGTGTCATAACTGGTAACTGCCCCACGGGGATAAACCTCGTGAGAGGAAGATTTGGTACAATAATACAGGGGGTATTGCAATGGGCCCAAGGCCTCCGAGTGGATCTCAACAGGATCCCAAACCCCAGCAACCTAACCTAACCTAAGGTTGTATAAAGTTTCAAAATACCTTAAAAACTTACTCAAAAAGTACAAGTTTATATTTAATTAGTATCTTTCGTCGCCGATCAACCCAGCGAAAAATTAAAGTAATTAATAATAGAGCTGAAATAATCGATTTTTTGGGGCCATTGTAGAAAAACGCAGAATCAAAATATCGTACCCTGGCGTACTTTTGAAATTCGTTTCAACACCATACGCACATATTTTTAGCGATAATTTATTTGTGTGTATAGAAATACATACATAAACAAATACATGTTGCATTCAATGAAATACAGGGTTATAAAAATTTTAAATACGATATCTACTTTTCAACTTTTTTATGTAACTTTTTTTAATTATTTGAAAACAACTATTTTACTTTTATATGTATTTCATATTTTTGAGCTCCCTTGTATACGAAATGAAAAACTTTGTATTCAGTAGTTTATTTGGCGTTTGACAGGATGCAGAGACTTTTATCAAGAATAAAAGTTTCCGAGAAACTTTTTTCGTTTGTGTGCAATGTTCTAGAGCAATACAATTATTAATACATTTATTCTGTAGGGAGTTACTCGAGTTATGGATCGCACAGTTCTAGCAGCTCGGGAGCTGGCGGTCGAGCAATGCACGAGCGGTCTCACTCAGACACGCCGACGCCACTGCCTTCGGTCGCTTTATCGGCCGAAAGCAGTAGCGTAACATCCCTGAGCAACTTGCCATTAAGGAAAACGTTAACGTCAGGTAGGTTCTACAATGTATTTATCAGGTAGATAAAGACAGATTCGATATAAAGGCAAACATTTTATATTTACGACAGCAGATATAATTAATTAAAATGAACATTATATAGTCTATAAAATGAATAACTTTGAATTTTGACCGTTATTTTTTACCAACATGGCAAATATAAAATCCCTCTGTCAAAAAAGTTACTTATATTATTTAAATTGAGTGCCTGAACGAATCAGATAGGTAACTCTTTTTACTTTCGTGAAATAGAAAAGGAAAATAATAAAACAAGTGACGGTTCTTCCTCTTCTTGCAAAAATCAACACGAAATGTTATTAAATGTCATCAGCTTTTGACATTTCTAAATATTAGACCAATGTCGCCTCTAATAGAACAGCCACGGAACGAGATTTATGACGTCACGCTAGTTAGATACTACGGATTAATAAATATGTTGTAGAATACATGGAAAACATAATTATTCCTCGTATTTGAGAAATCTCCCAAATGATATAGTTTACATGAAATATACATAATATACAGTTAAGAAATACAATATAATATATACCTATTTATAGTAATAAATACTTTGGCAAATAAACTATGAACCATACAAATGCACAGTGGCGGATACAGAGGGGGAGCCCTTGGGGCCCGGGCCCCCCTAAAACCTGTAAATTGTGTTAAATATTAGACTTTTGGGTTAAAAATAGCGCCCTAGAAAGCATATTCTATATTACATTTTCTTTTGGGCCCCCCTAAAATAAATTCCTGTATCCGCCCCTGCAAATGCAGCAAATGTTTTACAATATACAAATAATGAATAGGTGGTACATAAGATAATGGGTAAAATGTAAAATATATTTTAAATTTTGGGGTTTGAAAATCGATCTAATTTGACAAAAAACATTCAATATCTACTAATAGTGATGTACTATTATTTGCATTCACAAAATTTATTTATATATTATACTGTTTACTGCAATCAATAAACTAATATAAACTTGTCAAAAGATTACCATATATTTTTTAAAATTATTATTCTTAACACAAAAACTATCTACATTGACTATGGAGTACGATTTCAGCCATATTGTAAAACATTTGCTATCATTTTTAAAATACAAACCAAAAATACGAGGAATAATTATGTTTTCCATGTATTCTACCATATTTATTAATCCGTAGTATCTAACTACCGTGACGTCATAAATCTCGCTCCGAGGCTGTTCTATTAGAGACGGCATTGCGTCAGCATGGCCGCAAGTTGCTAACCTAATAAAATTAACACTAGAAAAGCCCGCGGGAACTGTCAAATTCAAAGTTATTCGTTTTACAGACTATAGGACAGTGCGCTACCAGGATTTTATAAGAAATATTGGAGTAAAAAGCTCAAACCAAAAGCCTTATATAGATATTTTTTCGTAACTCTAGATCACACTGTTTAAATTTTAGTAAATATACCTAGGTTATTTACAATTTACAAATATTGTGAATATTAGTCGAGTCTGTCTTCATTTTTTTTAAATAAATGTGTAGATAATTGTATTATTTTTAAACGAGAATGGCACTATCCCCTGCAGCTCATCACTTTCATTTACCCTCAAACCATGTACTCAATTTTCTGTTTGCACTCTATGGTGGCATGTTTCTTTTCTACGCAGGTTCGGTCACTTCTTCCGACTCGGGTCACAGCACCATTAGTCAGGTTACTACAGGGTCTACGGGTGAATGCCACCCATACCAAGTTCGGTGTCCTAGCCCTTCAAGGCATTCGACAGTGCTACCAGCAGGTATTTATTATCTTTTTTTTTATTTTATTTAATGGGGAAAATATTTTTTTATTAACATTATCTTTAAACAAGTAAATATATTGCACAATCAATGTTTAAAGGCTAATAAATATTTTAGTGTATTTCATTTCTATAACTTGTATATTTTTGGTACTTCAATACTTCCTTGACGAACACATGATATAGGCTGTCCAACGAGAGGATACATGACAGTGACAGTTGTCAATCGCAGTCTGTGATTTATTATATTTATTTAACAAGTGTCATAGATTTTAAGACGTTTTTGTGTTCATGCATCCAATTTTTTTTACGAATGTCTTGGTTAATTTTATGAAAATAACTGTCAGATTGAAACATCCGAAATTTGTGAACTAATCGTTAATTTTTTTAACTTTTTACGCCTATTGTTTTTCGCGGAAAACGTTCGAAATTTGTATACAGTGGGCTTCAATTGTATTTTCCGTCATTCTTTGGACGTTGTCTGTCGAAATCTTCCCTGACTCGTTGGACAGGCTTTAGCTGTATTCTCTTTCCTATTTAAGTTGAATTTGGTTTATCTGAGGTTCTATTTACACTTGTCATAAATGAAGTTGAAGTTAATAAAAAGTAAAGCTTCTCTGTTGCGTTTGTTCAATTTGTTTGTCAGTTGAATTTGTTGAAAAATTTAAGTATGGTGAAATATAAATAACTGCGATTTTGGTAGATTAAAAGAATTTGAAAGTCTACCTGACAGTTAAAATGAATATTGAATTCAGATAGCACCATTATCTGTAGTATTGACTAAATGAGTTTATTAATTATATTATCTCGAACTGTTTCTCTAAAAAGTGTTCATCAAAATTAATATAATACATGCACATTTACGGTTTCATTTGATTGTTTAAATAGTTATTCTTAGCTCTTTGTATTCGTATTGTTGCGATTTATGATAAAAATCATCATGTAAAAATAATACAGCTAATATGTGTGTCATATTTTTGGACTTTTGTTAAAATATTTCACTGCTTTTTTGATTAAGTCATATTATTAATATATTATATTATGTAGTACCCAATATAGTAACATATCAAGAAGGTCCTCGAGAAGGTCTAAAAGTGTTGACTGGATGAAAACTAATTGTATTTATAATGCAAGTTTTATAATATATTTTTATCTCATGACTATTGCAACAAATTCAGCTGTACATAAATAATTAAAAATATAGATATATGTAAATAAAAGCAATGTTGGGGTGTAATTTTTATTAATTTGGGCTGAATTAGGTCTCCTAGTTTATTGCAATGTAATAGGATAAGTGTGAAAAGATTAAAATAATGACAGATTTTTTCTCTAATAATTGTAAAAACTGGTAGAATATGTATTCGGGTATAAAATGTTTCTGGGCTGTGAGTGTCGCTGAACTGTTATGAATTTGTCTTTTTATGGATAGATTTTCTGAATTTAGAAGAATTAATGCTTATTAATATAGATATATGTAATATAGATATATGTAATCTTATTTATTATCAAAATAATAGAGCTTCTTATTCTATAATGACTTTTTTCTTTTATTATACATATTTAATTTTGATATTGTGAATAATGACATTTTAGTATGTTTTTTTTATAAAGTTAGTACAGTAAATTTTATTTTGACGAGTAGATTCTATTTTTATACAGGCCTGGTCATCTTAAATCGGTGGTCTAGATATATACGTGTAAGATAATTTTCGACAAAAATCAAACACGTCAAAGAGACAAGAAGTGGGTTGATACATTTCTTCTATATGGTACTGTCGGCTTTTCCATCAGGAATTCCTTCCAAAGAAAAGCATCCAAATAGGGGCTTTGGCATCAAATAAAATAATTAATTAATAATTTTACTAGCGCCCAACATGGGGCGCTATTTTGTTACATTAACAGTTGTAAAAAGACGGAGTTTTTTTTGAGAATTTTCTTTCAGAAATATGTAATAAAGAGCTAATACTATACCGGGTGCGTCTTAAAAATGGCTCAGCTCTATAACTTTTTTATTTTTACAGTTAAAAAAACGAGATTTGGTATGTTAGTATATGACATAAATTAGGATTGATTGATGTATTCAATTGTTTTTGGTCACTTCCTGTTTCACCGGAAATGACTACAACTTTTGATTTTTAAATGGCACCCTCGGTACTTTTTTACTTTATTCGATAGAAAATAACACTCTGAATAGAAGACATATCATATGTCAACTATTGACATTTTCGCATATGGTTTATTTGAAATTATATCTTGCGGCTCGTAATGAAAATTTGACTCGAAATATCAAGTGTGTGGTACCAAATTATTCGTAAAAAATGCTTTTTCTAAATATGCTAATGACCCACCCTCATTCCATTTGAAAAAATTGAGATATGATTAAAAATACGATTTGGGCATTTTCTATATAACTGGCCAGGACAAGACACTAAAAACATTAGACAATCAAATCTATTTTTCCAAGGGCCCTTGATCAAGAATTAGTGTTTTTAACATAACCATGGCACTCTAGATTGAATTTTAAAAATCAATTTTATTTAAGCGAGAATGTCAAAAGTTGACGTATGATATGTCATTCTATTCAGAATGTCATTTTCTATCGAATAAAATAAAAAAACACCGAGAATTTTTTTTTTAAATCAAAAGTTGTAGTCATTTCCGGTGAAACAGGAAGTGTGTCATATACTAACATACTAAATCTCGTATTTTTATATGAAAAAATAAAAAAGTTATAGGTGAGCCACTTTTGAGACGCACCCGGTATAATGGTGCTAGTCGCCGGTGAGCAGTGGATTGAGGGAAATAAAAAGTCTACTGACTAATATTTTGGACGCCACTCAGTTTTGGAAAAATTTTGAGTTAACTGAGAAACCAAACTCAGAAATTTCTAAAAGAAAATTCTCCAAAAAATACACTCCATCTTTTTTTATAACTAATGCTACAAGGTCCGTATTTTATATACGCCCGTGAATACCTTACACATAATAATAAAGAAAATCTATGTATGCCCGCTTAATTCTGTTTCGTTCCTAGGTACGCAGCCCTGCACTTCTTATGTCTCTGTCTGTTATAGGTTAACTATATTTGTCTTTGTCTTACTCGTTAAAATGCAGACTATGGATTTATAATAACCAGAGCTGTAGAAAAAAAATTGTTTTAAAAACATGTGATATAATGCGAAAGCAAATTTGTGCTCTCATTTATGTTATGATAATGAAAAAAAGTAAGATTTTTTTAATCATTTGAAGGAATCTTTTTTATTTTATTCGTGGTTATGCATATAATTATTCTATAATTAGGTTACCTAATTGAAGTATTAAAATACACAAGTTGCATTAAGTCTTCTAATACAGAGACTCTAGTAAATTCAAGTGTTATATAGTGTTTGTTGTTTGTCATTGGTGATAGGCTGGTATCCTACGCGAACCGGTGCTATTCCGCCTTGCCCCCATGCTGTGGCCGTTTTACCTCCCTTACCTCATGCTTTGCGCAATGGTAAGTCTTCATCTTGTAGAAAGAAAATGTAGGTTTACCCCTGAACAATTTTAAAACACTTAGATGTGGTGTACATAATATATGGTTTCAAAAAACAACTGCTGATTTATTGCGTTTTCTATTGATATCATTCGTCACTCATTGCACGCACCATTTGAGAAGTGTGAAGGACATAAACTCTATAGAAACGCTTTGGTAAAGAACGTAGTCAAATATTACCTTATAAATTGTGTGAATTCAGTAATTATTATTGTTGCTGATTATTTTTAATATATTGCTTGCATTTTTCTTACTACTAACTATACTACTCTACATCACTGTATAATACTTTTATATAATTTTAGACGTCCATTTTGCTAACCGTGTAAGTTATTAGGTACGTTAAGTTAAAGGTTACATTCTATAATCTTACTTTACCAAAACACTTCTGGTGTGTACTTTTTGACTCATTACCAACACATTATCTTACAATTTATAGTTCATATTTATCTCTCTTAAAAGAAATCTAGTAAAAAGTGTAAACTTATCAGCTTGTATTCAACTTAGTGATGAATGATTAGGAATATACACGATTGGCAAAGACCGACTTTGGGTGCCAATTTTGGCGTGCAAGAAGAGTACAATGAACTTAAAATTTAAGAAAACTAAAATAAATTTGATTTTAATCATCACCAGCTTTAATATCTACTAATGATGTTAACATGGTAGTAAGATGTGCATTATGGATGTATAAAGATTGTTTTGGTGTAGCAACTTGAAAGTCTGACTTTTTTAACTGAACTTACCTAGCCTTCTCATCTTTATGTTTTTTTAAGTTTTAATGTGTATTTCAGGACAGTAATTTATAAGGTATATTTTATTTTTAACCTAATCAGCAATTATTGGAACTGAAGAAAACGCACAATTTTTTTTTAATTTGTTCAGGGGTCAAAGTGTAGTAGCTATGCTAGATTTGAGTTCTAACTTTTCACTCCTTCAGCTTCTCTAACAACATGCATGATTTAAAATCTGTTTGTCTTGTTAAATGTTTGGATATTCCGTAATTGTATGTATCATGATTGTATAGCGTCGATTTTTGTGCATAATACGTGTATATTATTAATTTCAAAGAAGTAAATATAGTAATTTTATAATGTTATTACAATCCCCTATATTAGATGGTTCAGTTGTTTTTATGTTATTAATTATGTGTTATGCCGAACTCATTTTCTCTTGAATCATAATCACGCTTAATTTGTGTACATTTTGAATTTATCTATAGTTTGATTTGCATGTATAACGATTTTCATGTTTTACGTTAATATTAATTATAAATAATTTTGACTTGACTTGCATTAACTTGTCTGATAATAACAATAACTAATTGAAAACTATATTAATCTTAATATACAGTGGCCATCAAGAATTTTCAACAAATGTGAATACTTCATTATGGATTATTGAAAGAAAACTTGGAATCAATATACTGTGGAATCAATAATATTCAATAAAAAAAACATTTTGATATTATATTCTGTTAACTACTATGGCAGTAATTTTTTTAAATGTGTCATAGTTAAAACTAATTAACGTGATATCGAAAAGTATTAAAGAGAAAAAAATACGTTCATGTGTCAATCTTCAAAAATATTCAAGGATTTTTAAATTTAGTATTTTTGTCCATTAGCAAATATACCCTTTAGCTGGAAAACGTTTTGTTTCACATAAAATACAGTGATGTCAAAGAAAACACATAAAAATACAAAAAAATAAAGTGAATCGTAAAGAAAATAACCCTTCGTTTTTATATAAGTATGTCATTGCAAACAAGGCCCAGCAGCAATATGTTTAAAGATTGTTTATTAAGAATTACTTTTCTTAAATTAACTGTACTTGATGTTATTCAAACGACGCGATAGATAAAAAGGCTAATTTGATCTTCCAAAATAGAGACCTCATATATTTCTGAAAATATACCCAAACGTGAAATCGAATTCTAAAGGTGCGTACAGACATGACGAGACGAGCGCGAGACATTCCAAATTTGCTGTGTGGACGGGTCTCGCGAGATAACCCACAGAGTCTCATGGCTATCCGCCCTCTGGCGGTTTTTCGACGGCTGATCAAAGAAATCTCGTGGCACAGTCTGGACGTGTTTGTGGTAGGCTCACTCGACTTGGTTCGTGGCAGGTGTCTTCAAAAATGGATAAAACCAGTCTCGTTCTTGTCTCGCGCTCGTCTCGTCAGGACTACGCACCTTAAACAACATCGGTTATTCGTATATGAGATTTGCTGCCATAACAGTTACATTGCAAAATATGTCAATTTTATGTTATTTGTCTGCTGAACTGATTCCACAGACACTGATTTTCGATAACTTTTAACTTTTTCCCCTTTTGTTACGAAATTATGGAAGTAACAGTAATATAGTACTCATGAAGTTTCTAAATATTTTTGATTACATTCTGTAAAAAAATGTTGTTGCATCTAGTACCAAAACCACATCATCATGTTTTCTTTTGCACAAATTCACCTTTGTTCTCCTTCGCTTTTAGGTGCCAATAGGAGGCAACCACCTTCTTACAGTGTTGCCGCCCACATGGCGCGACTTCATAGACTGGGCAGAGCACATTCGCACGAAGGTGTGACTCAAGGTTACCATTACCATACCGACCCTGATACCGATCAAGGTACGTTATGGGCAGAATAATATCAAAAATAGTTAATATTATTATAAACGATTCTGCTAGTTTTTCAACTTTTGCAATAAACATTCTTTTTTTTTTGTTCAGTATTAATTTTGGCTAATGGTATAATTTTGCTTCTCTAATCTGATCTAATCTTTTCGTATTTGAGACTCTCAGACATCATTGGATATATAAAAAATAAACATAATAAATAATATCAAAAAAATAATAGTTTTGTTCCAACATAGCAGAGAACCGCTCTTGGTACTGCTACTGTTACGCAGTAGAGAAAATGCGTTCCAAACAAGTTGTTCGTGAACCGGATTTGGAATGGTGATTTCGAAACCAGCCTAAAAGCAAGAAACAAGCCTTCTACGCCTATATTCGGTTTTAAATTTTCTCATTTCTCAAGTTTTTTTGGTATTTTATCGTTTTTATACATATTTTAAATAAAGATTCTTATATTTTTGTACTAAATATGATGAGCTAACCTAACCTAACCTAACCAAACCATTGAATATGATTTGAATGAATCTTTTGTTAAATAAAGCAAAGGTGATTTAGTACATAATTAAAATCATAAAAAAATAATAAATTGAGTAGTCTGTAAATAAATCGAATAAAATACAAAATTTTAAATTTATATCGAAAATATACAGGGTGGTCCGAACTGTATTCCGGAAACTTCAGCAGGATATTCTGCAGATAAAAATAAGTAAAAAAGTTCGTATAAATGTATGTCCGAAAATGCTTAGTTTTGGAGATACAGGATGTAGAAGTTTCATTTTTATTTCGATTTTTCCCAAATAATTTCTGAAGCAACGTCAATATTTGGATGAAAATTGGTGGATTGGAGTTTTTTGGCATGAGAAATATGTGTTTTAACTGTTTTGAAGAGTAATAACTTTTCGTCCGTATCTGTATAAAACTACTGTATGAAAAAATATACTTTTACGTGATTTTTTTACGTAAAAATGTCTCTTGGTAAAAATCGGGACAAGCGATCGTTCTCAAGATATTTAGAATGGAAATAGTAAATGCATGTCATTATTAACAAAAAATAAACATGTTGACTACATAGTTATTTCACTGTAATGATAAATTTGGAAACTTTTTATTTTTTTTAAATTAAACATGATAAAACAGTTTCTGTTGAACTTTTGGTACGTAAATATTTTAAATTTATGATTTCAGTCTAATAACTAATTTAGTCAACATATTTAATTTATGTCAATGATGACAGGTATTGATAATTTCGATTCCAAATATCTCGAAAACCATTACTCGTAGCGATTTTTACCCAGAGACATTTTTTAATTAAAAAAGTAAATGTATATTTTTTTTAGGGTTGTGTCGATACTACCTTTCAGTTACCGATACCGATACTTTCGATACCTAAAATCCGATACCGATACTGTATCTGAAATTCAGATAAAAGTTTTTTTTACTTAACTTTTATTAAAAATCAAAACTCGTTACATAAGATTTAGCTATAACAGCTAACAACTTCAAAAAAAGTTTATCTCAACCTAAGAGGTAAAAATTTTTCTTTAAAAACATTAATCTCTGGACATTTTCTGATGTTAGTGAAGTTCTTGTAGGTTTCACAATATGCCCTGCTTCGGAAAAAGTTTGTTCAGAGAAGACAGATCCAGCTGGTATTGACACATAGAGAGCAGCAAGTTTTTTTAGTTTTGGAAATCTGGTTTCCTGTTTCCAATAATCTAATGGGTCAGTTTCAAGTTTTTTTGTCGGTTCATGTAAATATAGTTGAATTTCTTTGTCCAGATCATAGTTTGGATTTGGACTTGGACTCCACTGACTTTTTTGTAAAAGTTGTTTATTAGCCTAAAAGAAAGTAAAGCATATTTAATACGCACTGTTTTAGTTTTAAAACTTTATATATACCTGCAAAAAGCTTAGATTAAAATTGGGAATAAGTGAACCGGAGGTTCCTAAAGCTTCATCAAAGTTCGTATTTTATTTGTATCCGTATCAGAATCAGACATCTGTTGTGATTGTGAAGCATGTAAAGCTAGCGGTGCATTATCTTTTAATACATTTATTATTTTCTGAATTACGGTTTGCTCATTTTCGTTTTCACCAGTGAATAAACCAGCTTTATATCGCGGATCTAAGGCTGTGGCCATTAAGTAGACATTATTTTTTTCAATGAAACTGAAGCGATTCTCTAGTCCTGTTAATAGTTCCTTTACTAGCATTTTGATTTGACACAAGAAAAAAGTATCTGAAGTACTAGGTATCGGCGAGTAACGGAAAATAGTCAATATCGGCCGATACCCGATACTGAGTATCGGTATCGGCACAGCCCTAATTTTTTTACGCAGTAGTTTTATGCAGGTACGGACGAAAAGTTGTTACTCTTAAAACCAGTTAAAATAGGTAGGTGGCGCCCTCTACAAGTAGGAGTCATATTAACATCAAAATCAAATTTATCATGTAAAAAAACTCTCAGACACCAATTTTCATCCAAATATTGAAGTTATTTCAGAAATTATTTGGAAAAAATCGAAATAAAAATGAAACTTCTACACCCTGTATATCGGAAACTAAGCATTTTACCTGTGTTGGAACAAACCTAATGTTTATTAGATATTTTTAATATCATATTTAAAACAGTCACTACCAAAAATAACAAGTTAAAATTGTCTTCTCTCTATAATTTTTTTTAATAGTAAGAAAAATATAACTATTATTTAAAATAAGTTAGCATAAGAATAATTAGAATTCTATATAGTGTATATTTTTAATAACTTAAATTGTTGCTATGACGTGATTTGCACATTTGCATTGCTTTTGTTATATTGGCATGGGTAAGTGAACTGAATCTATTTGTGATATCGTTATTATTGTCAATGTATTGTATTGTAACCTAAGCACTGACTAACTAGCTACTTTATGTTAACAATCTAAAGCTGTATCATAGAATACATAAATGTACAAAATTTTGAGATAAAACAACATAGACTGTTAAGTAATACTAGAATTGCAAATTAACAAAACTGACAAACCATATATAACTATACCACTCCACCACTCTAACAATTCTTAACTTACAAGAAATATTCTAATGACAAGAATTTTTTTTAGATGATCAACTAAACGACTGTACTGACATTTCTGACACGATTATTATTATGGTATGATACTGACGAACAATGTCGACTTGACTAGACTACTATAAAAATTAGTAAGGTAAAGTAAGTAAAGTTTGTCCAGCGAGAGAAGGAATGATTTCGACAGACGACGCCCAAAAATTGACAGAAGAAACAATTTATCTTTGAAAATCAAAACCATAACGACTGTTACTGTCATATATGTTCTCGTTGGACAAACTTTACCTATCTTAAGCCGCGTCCAAGCTAAGCGAACAAAACCCGTTCGCGAACATATATAATTAACACTACCCAAGTAGCAAATTTTATTTTATAAAGGCTGTATAAACAGCTATGTGATAATTTTTATAAGATACCTCAATTCTTATAACGTGCTATATGAGCGTAATATGATAGCTTTACAACCAAAAAAGGCCCATTTTTATACAACCGTTTAGTAGTATAGAAGTTCTATAAAAAGGGTATACAACTTTTATGCAACTATTTTACACAGCGTTATATGACTATTATAAAACTAGTTTTATTGTGTATTACGTGGTCACATCTAAGAAACAGAACAATAAACACATTTGATCATTTAGCGAGGAGGTACATTAGTATTTAATTTTTTACCGAAGAATATTAGGAGCAAATTATATTTTAAGCGTGTCGTAAAATGAATCTAGAGGATGTAGATTGTTAAAAAGGAGACTTTACTCGACAATGAAAATGACGGGTAGGGCCAGAAGGTACAACAAATATGTAATATAAAAAATCATTAATAGGGTTTGAAAAGTAGGGAAAATTTTTGTTGCGCCGAAAATTTTACTGGTAGATTAGGTATGTATTTGGCAAAAAATTAAAGCGCTTTAATTTCGATTTAGGTTTACGTATAAATTTAAACAATAAAATAAAATAAAATTTTCAAAAATTCTTGTTTTTAATTTAATTAAACAGTTTATTACTGTATGTGGGAATCTTATCACAAAATAGTTCTCAAAAAAAACATTTTACAATTTATTTTGATGTTTTTAATTTTGCTTCATATAATGGCGGCCATAGGCCATACAAAAATTCTGCCTTAAACATGGCGAATTATAATGCAACCATTTTATTATAAATGAATCCCTTAAATAAGTCTTTGTGGTAAAATAAAACGGTATAAGATAAATATCTATCATTACGCAGAATTTCCAGGCACTATAGAACTATTTTTGACATATTGAGATTTGTGACAAATGGATGTTGGCAAATCTCATTTGATTAGTATTTAAACTAACAAACATGATCAGGTTTTCATGGATTTATGCACGCAATGCATTTCATGCATGCCCGACGAGTGAGCGGCAACCTAAGGACTTGGAAAAACAACAATAAAACAATACAAACATTACTACAGTAAAACTTTTACATCAACGTGGCAACAATGCTTTGAAGAAGCCAGACAACCCGAGAGGTTTTGGCTTTTGGGAACCCAGGGAATTCTCGGGATTATTTGCCGTAATTTCGATGAGTTTTTTCTTACATGCTCTTTATAACTACCACTGCGTATGTTAACTTTTTTCCAACTTTGTCCAGAATTCATAATAGCTGTGATTGATTATACTCGTACGTAGATATTACTTTTGCAACAACAACAATAACAAAATAAATAACTACGTATACCATTTAATTTAAAATGAGGTTATATTATACATTACCAGTTTTATAATGCAGATATTACAGCGAATTTATTTTGTTAATCACAATTTTATCATATAAGGCTATATAACTAGTGTTGTATACAGCACCGTAGTTAACGCAAGAAAACATTCTATCATACAACGTAATACAACTTTAATAAGACAAGTTTAAGTAACTATCATATGATCTTGTGACTACTAGTTATATGAATATTATAGAACTCTTACATGGTGGGTATAAGAGTCTAATAAAATAATATGTTTGTTATCATATAGCATTGTCTTATTAAGTGTTATATCATACTAATAGTAATTATCGTTTAATGCGTTATAGGATACGTTGTAAAAACCACTAGAAAATAGTTTAATATGACAACTTTTATTAAAAAACAGAATGGTCGAAACCAAACGCTTAATAAAATCAAGCAGTCCTTAAGACAACGCTATTCGACTGTTATAAAATAATTCAGTCCTTTTAGAATTTCTTTTTGCTCCTTGGGTATATACCTAGCAGCAGGTCGTAAACGACGGCACAGCCCATCACATCGGTCCCGAGGACTGAGGTGCGGGGAAGAATGCGACAACCAGTTTACTCTATAGATCTAGGATGCGTTTAGGTCGTCGCTGTTTTTTCGAGTGCCCGGCTTAATGTGAGTTGAAAAAATAAATATGGATGATAAGGTGAAAATTGCGGCAGCTGCTTTTATTGTATTGGCTGATGCTTGCAAAAAAAAACAAAAAAAGAAACTCTGTAGCAAAACAAAATTGACGCAAAGCTGGCGAAAACTACAGTGCAAGCATTTTATTAAATAACTTAACCCGTAAACAGTTTAAGAACTTCTGTCGTTAAAGAATCAATATTTAGCAGGCGGAGGGTCACAGGGGTTTTTGGTAGATTATTCGTTATAGTGTATTTTTAAGACCTGTATTCATTTTCAGCGGATTCTACAAGGTGTTTCTCAAAAGGGGCTCACCTATTTTTTCAGATAATACAACGAAATTTGGTTTGTTAGTATATGACATAAATCGGGATTGATTGACGTATTCAATTACCTTCGGTCGCTTCCTGTTTCACCGAAAATGACTACAACTTTGGATTTTTAGATTGTATCCTAAGTAATTGTTTGACTTTATTTGATAGAAAATGACATTCTGAATAGAATGACATATCATACGTCAATTTTAGACATTTCCAATTAAATAAAAATAGCATTTTAAATTTCAATCTAGAGTGTCAAGACTGAGTTAAAACTATTAATTTGTAATCAAAGAACTTTGGAAACGTATATTTGATCGTGTATTTTTTTTTCGTATCCTTTCATGGCCGCTTAAAAGATGCCCAAATCGTATTTTTAATGATAACTCAAATTTTTCAAATGGTACGAAGCTGGCGCAGCATATTGGAATTTTTTACCAATAATTTGGTATCACATACTTGATATTTGAGGTAAAATTGTCGTTACGTTTATTTATGGCCATTTTTTAATCGAAAATGTCAAAAGTTGACATATAATATATCATTCTATTTAGAATGTCATTTTCTATTATATACGGTAAAAAAATACCGAGGGTAGCATTTAAATCAAAAGTTGTTGTCATTTCCGGTGAAATAGGTAGTGACCGAAAATAAATTAAAATGTCGATCAATCCTGATTTATGTCCTATACTAACATACCAAATCTCGTTTTTTATGTGAACCACTTTTCAGAAACACCGGATATATTTATTTCTAAAAATGTAATGGTAAAATTTCATTTCCGGTGTCAAACTTCCTATTAAGTAGTAATTTTTAATTTCAGAATCCCATAATTCCGGTTTTTAATAAAAATAATCATAAAGGTCTTTATTAACAAAAATGAAATTATATGGACGAAGTCTAGCTACTCAACCCACAATAAAATTATAAAATCTTTTCTTTGTGTAAACAAATTACTTGTAAATGTTTTTCACGATCCCAGTCAATAACTGCGTCTCCCATTGCTGAATACTCGGTAAAAAATAAACATCACAGACGGACGCCCGAAATTAAATGAGACTCTTCCAAGTGTCCGCTACAATGTCCGTCAAAATGCACGCCGTTCGCTCCTTTTGATGTACCGACACCCGTCGGAAAAAGAACGCGCGCGCTCTAGCATGCAGGCAGACGCACGCTCTGGCGTACAAGGTAGCCGTTCGGCGCTCCGCGCTCCTAATAAGCCTAGGCTAGCTGTACTTGTTGGCTTTATTATTTATAAATCTACCTATGTCACAATTTTCACATAATATCTGTTTAATTATATATGTTCGCAAACGTTTTGTTCGCCTCGCTTGGACGCGGCCTTATATTACGACAATTATTTTTTAGAGACTTAATAAGCCAATCAGTGTAAGTCAGTAAACAATAAAACTGCAAAGCTTCTAAAACAATAACCTAGAAAAAATGCACAAAATAAAAGAATGGCTAAGGAGATTTGCCAACTGAAAATTCTAATTAAAAGGTCGGTTACAAGATATTGATAATATTTAATCAAACTTATGACGATATACTGATTGGTTTTTGAGCTCTAATCGACTGTTTTTCAAATAAAGTACCGTATGATCGAGAAAAAACGGCGTCCAGTTGGCTGGGAAATGAAGATCGCTGTCATTTTATATGTAAATTTATATGGGAAATCTCATCGATCGTCATTTCCCAGCCAACTGGACGCCGTTTTTTTTCGATCATACGGTATAATTAATTAATTGTGTTAATTATTAGTACACTCAAATACTGTTTTTTTTTCATTACAGATGACGAAGAAACTCAAGTTTCTGCAGTCTAAAAAGCCCCGGTTTATTGGAAATGTATTTAATCAAACCATGTATTTATTTGTGTTTTTGACGTATACAGACATCAGTAACTAAGCTATTGTTTAAAGGTACTGGGGTTGACAGTATATTGAATATTATTTTCTCAGCATGCCACACAAAAACTATTTTGAGTTAAAAATTGAAATAAAATTTAATAAATTGTTAACCTCTATGCCAAGTACCTGATCTTAATGATTTTTTGTAGACCTTTCTATCTGATTTAATATATTATTTTACTAAGTGTAACTATCGCCTTTATAAAAACTTGTATATAGTTTATTTATAAGATATTATTTGATTTTTCAAGTTTGAATCAGTATTTGTTTATTTATAATCCTGAATGTTGGCAAGACATTTCATTGCATGTGACTAAGTGAATAATATAAGAAAATTAAGAAATATTTATTGTATCACTTTATATATAAAAGTTAAATGGACAAAAAGTATAACACAAAGACAGATCAGCATTCAGGAATGAGAAATGCTAATATTGTGTGACTTCTGTATCTGTATTAAGACGCTAATGTAACATACATATCGTATGAAATGCGGCTGGATTTAAAAATATCTAAGCAAAAAGAAACATTTTCAAATCGTTCATATATTTTTTCAAAAACTTTTATAGCTTCTTTAAGTATTAGCCTAAGAGCTGGCTACATAAAAAAACCTCATCATCGTTACATGGCTAATTTTTCTTGCGAAGTCTCCTTATGTGTAGCCATTATGAAATAGTCATGTCTGCCAGCGCGATCCCGGGGCTTAAATTGGTGCCGGCCAATCGAAAGGGTGAAATTTTGACACTAAAAATATTATAAGGTACATGAGTTATAATTGCGAAAATAGCTTTTATTTATTATTAAGGAACGTGAAAAATTGTTGGCAGACATTTTTCTTGTCGCTAAAATGCCGAAAATTTTCCAAAATTTTGGAAAAAAAATATGGCTCACATGCATGCCGATTTGTGGAATGTCATATTTATTTATTTTAAAAGCCGTATGCAAAAGGGCAGACAAAAAGATCGTGGCTAAATCAGCGGCAGACAGTTATCAAAAGCGCGATATTACTCTAGCGCTTTCAGGGAACTTGAAAATCATGCATTTTTTTTTAATTTTCCTTTATATTTTAGAAAACTATGTAGAACTGCATGTTCACCGCAAATTTACCCACGGTATAATTTTTTAATCTACCATTCTTACGGCTTTACTCTATGATTACGACACTAATAGAATGGATGCAAATACAGAAAAAAAACAGGCGACTCACAAAATGATTTAAAATAAATCTTTCTAAAAATGTCTTTTTAAATTTTCAAACTTGAACAGTTATTTTCGACTCATTTGAAAAACGGTAAAGAGAAAATATATTTCTTTTGTCGAGATACCAGCCCTGAACATATTTGCACTTACCCGAGACTCACCCTGTAGAGTAATATCGCGCTTTTGATAACTGTCTATCGCTAATTGAGCCACGATTTTTTTTGTCTGCCCTTTTGCATACGGCTTTTTAAATAAATAAGTATGACATTCGCACCACTCGGCTGTACATAAGGATACTTCACAAGAAAAAATAGCCATGTAACGATGATAAGGTTTTTTACGTAGCCAGCTCTCCGTCTATATGTTACGTTTATGCATTTTTATATCATTCAGAGCATTTACAGTTTTATATAAACTAATTTCGACATGATAAAAATATTGGAAGAACAAAAATGTTCTTTAAAAACTATATAAGTATTTTTAATTTTGCTCGAAACTAGTTACTCGAATATAGCATATTTTAATAATTTTAAATATATATTTTTTTTTGAAAACTTAACAAATGTTTCTTTCGCGCTATATCTTCCGATATAGTTTCTCTTGAATGAAATATTAATGAAAAGCTATTTTGAAGATATTTAAAGCTGTTATTTTAGTTTTAGAGAATTCATTCCATATTGTAAATATACTTATATACTACTACATATCTATTTACTTGATGTGATTCTTCTTCCAATTCTAAATAACGTGCTAAAGAAGTATAAGACATATTTTCCATTTTTTCCAAGGATAAAACAGTTAAAAATGTATGTATTATTTTATGCTATTAAAAACTGTGGTAGATTTTAATGAGGACAAAATAATTATTCTTCTGTCATTTGATCAACTTTAAAAAATCTCTACTTCTTAATATGACTGATGAAACAAATTTAAGAATAATCTTATATAAGTCAAATAACCTATGTGATTTCTTTTTATAGCATATTTTTATATCGTTATTACTTTTTTATTAGCCCTAGTTGTGTTGCAATTCTCTTTTTTTTTTCTTTTTATTTAGGTTAAAGTGATTGAACTAGTCTTGTTCATTTTGAGGTCCATGAGAAAATTACAATTTACGTCCAATAAAGCACTAAAATAATTTATGTAGTGATTTGTGTGCAGTATTGACTTGAATTATATTGATATTATAGATATAAATCAGTAAACATTTGGCCGCATAACAAACAAAATTTTAATTGACCGTTTTAAAAATGTAATTTTCTTAAGGGCCTTTTCTCAAATGATATTATGTAATATACTTGATTTTTTATAAGTTGTAAATTATGTACAAACTTCTTTCATCCACATTAAAGCATTAAATGGCTATATAAATATGTCACTTTATTATGCAAGATATAATTTTAAATAAATTATTATAGTGACTTTTTTTTCTTTCCTTTTATCCCTTTCCCGTTATTCATTTTATTAAAAGATAATAATTATCTCGGTGGTTTTATGGCAAAAAGTCCCATGTCGAAACCTTATTGTGATATTATTCACGAAAAACGTGTTTTGTCCAAAATTTCGAATTCTATAAAAATCATATGGTTTCGTTTGGCTTAAAAAAGTTGCTTAAAAAGCCAAATGGAACCATATTTTTTTTATAGATCATAGATATTATAGATTTTTATTGCCATATTATATGAAACAAGAAAAAGGACAAAATTTCGACAAGGACCTTTTGCCATAAAACCCCCGATTTATTAAATTATTAAGTAAACTAGACACTAAACAAAATTGTATAGTCTATCAAAGTGTGATGATTGCAAGGAGGATCAGTTATTCAAATGAAATAAAATAAACTTTTTAATCTTATAATCATAGCGAATATTGGCGGCAGCATATTCGTTACAATGTCACTAGAATTCATTCTAAAAGAATAAAGGTACCATAAATCTATAAAAAATAAGTTCTGGACTTTATATTTAAAGCATCAAGTTACAAAACCCGCCTAATGACATATATTATTAACAGCCTTGTTTATATATTCTTAAAGTTGTTCAACCAACTAGACAAATTGTGCTGCCAACTGGAGGACAAATCGTGAACCTTTCGGGGCGGAATCAAAAATATCGATTATTTTCGTTATTTTCCTCAGAGTAATGTAATAATATAGCCCAGGTTTCTGCGAACTTTAATAGTGATCAGCTGATTAAGAAATTTAAACGAAACTTTTATTTTATTGTAAATTGTGGATTATTTTGCCTGTTATTTAAAGAATTCTAAACCGTATTAACAAAGAAATTATTATTTCGATATGTTGGTACATTATTTATAATTTATGATAATGCTAATTGCTGTTAATTAATATTTAAAAAAAAAGTTATATACCTATTTTAATTTGATTTAATGCAGGTTTATAAAAGAATCATTTCATTCTTAGCTTATTTTATTCTAAATTGAGTGCTTTACCAATTTTACGATATTTTTTTTGAAAACATAAAACTTTTTACATTTTTGATGACAACTAACTGGCATGGTATTATTGGTATGGGAATTAGCCAAGAAAGAAAAGAATTGGCTATAACTTGTAATTTTTCGAAAAAAACATATTATACCTATATCGCTGAAAAGCTTAAAGAATGGGGCTCTTTATGAAGTCATGGCCAACTAGGGTTTCCATTTAAAAAAAAAACATAATGTTTGTGTCATATGTCAAAAATGACAGGCTGTAGAAAAAAAAAACAGAAAACACAAACTCATCAGGTATGTGATTATCTACAACTTTTATCTGAAAACTTTTTGTCTAAAATACCATATGATCGAATAAAAACGGCGTCAGCGATGGCTATGAAATGACGATCGATATTTTCCATATAATTTTACATATAAAATGACAACGATCTTCATTTCATAGCCATCGTTGACGCCGTTTTTATTCGATCATACGGTAGATTATAATGGAATTAGACAAGTATTAAAATAGCCAAAATTTGGTATACAATGGTCGAATTGAATAATTACCAGCTTTTATAGCATATCTAATAGACAAAAAGTATCTGGTCGATTAGTAACCAATTGGCACAGCCCGAAAATTATCGATTTTTATTTTCTCTGTTTTTATTGGTCGCTTCAAAATTCAGAGTAACAAAAAATATTTTTCTGTAGTAAAAGACTGTGAAATACGCCCCGCCATCTGGTGCTTTACATCCATAAACGTCTTAGGTTGAGCTACTTTAAAAATTCATATACAAGGTTAACAGTGAACCCTGAAATCTACATAAACATAGTCCCAAAGTGCAGAAGAAGTAGCCAATTCCTACACAGGGCGAGTCTTAAATAAGTGTAAATATTTTTAGGGGTAGTATATTTTGACCCTAGAAACACGACGTTTATGAGGTTTTTCGCAAAAAAAAGTTCTCATTCTCATTTTTTTTAATTTTTAGTTAAAAAAAACATATCTTCATAATATGGTAGTAGATTAAATTTACAAGAAAGAAACCCCAGAAAAAGTGGTTCTCTAAATTTAAGTGAAAAATTTTCAATGTTAAATATACAGGGTTGTCCAAACTGTATTGCGGTAACTTCTGCATATAAAAATAAGTAAAAGAGTTCGTATAAATGTCCTAAAATGGCCTAGTTTCGGAGGTGTAACAGTTTCATTTTTATTTCGTTTTTTTCAAAACAATTTATAAAGTAACGTCAATATTTCGATGAAAATTGGCGTTTTTTGACTTGAGAAATTTAATTTTCATGTCAATACGACTCCTACTTGTAGAGGGCGCCACCTACATATTTTTTAACTGGTTTGAAGAGTAATAACTTTTCTTCTGTACCTGTATAAAACTACTGAGTAAAAAAAAATACATTTACGACACTTTTTACGTAAAAGAGGTCTCTTGGTAAAAATCGCTAGGAGTAATGGTTCTAGAAATATTTGAAATCGAAATTATCAATACCTCTCATCATTGACATAAATTAAACATGTCCAACATGTCGACTAAATAGTTATTAGACTGAAATCATAAATTTGTAATGTTTTCGTGTCAAAAGTTTAACAAAAACTGTTCTACCGTCATTTTTTCGCAGACAAATTGATGGTTAATTTAAAAAAAAATAAAAATTTCCCAAATTTATTACTTCAATCAATTAACTAGGTATACTAAGGCAACATCGCTAAGAGACGTGGAAGGGGATATAGCATATTTGTCGCAGTTGACCGGTCGACCCAATCAATACCTCTGTCAGTATTTAAAGAAGTGTAAGCTAGAAACACTTGCATTTTTGGGAAAAATAAGTGGAATTGAGTGGGTGTTCGATAGTGGTCGCGCTGTTAGAACTCTGAATTCAAAAATCGATATCTCGAAATCTATTAGAAATAATAGATTGTAGTTTTTTCAAGAACTTTGTTAATATTTCTGCTGTATTTTCTTTGTAGACAGTATGTGAAAATCTTTATCAATAAAAAAATTACACGATTGCTGAAAATTGCTATACTCTAAAAGTAAATGGATGGATTGTTTACAATTTTTGA